AGAACCGATATGGCTAATTACTGCTGCATCGGATGTTGGAGTAGGAGCATTGGTTGGGTAAGGGGCCTCCCATGAAACGGCAAGACTGGCGGCATTACACAGCAGGAAGTTCACTAATTCACAGATGAACTATGGAACAACAGACAAGGAAGCCTTTGCTGTGATTGATGCTCTAGCCGCCTTCAACCACATCCTGATGGGCAATACCTTCACTATTGTTACCGACCACCAACCCCTCACTAATCTGAAATCAGAAAGAATACCTGGAAGGAGAAGAACAAGATGGATAGGTGAAATCAGCAAATACAATGCAAAAATCATCTATACCCCTGGAAGAACAAACTATTTAGCTGATGCTCTCTCCCGCCTATATGAGAACCAAGATCTCACAGATCCTCCTCTTGTTCATGACCACACAAGACAAAGCGAGGACAGCCCTGACGACACCTCTTATGAACAAGAACCATCGATGGCTACTGCCAGCTTTGCCACTCCCTCCAATCCTTTCTCTTACACCATGTACAGTGCTGCCGGAACGGAACGAGGAAAGGACATTGATGAAGAATGGAAAGACAATTGCACGCTCCCCAACACACCTCCTCACGAGCTTAAACAGAGCAGACTCCACTGGTCCTACTGTTATCACGATACCTGCTCTTTTCACCAGACTGAGATTAAGTTCAGCAACAGATAGCAGTGACTATACTATATGCCTGCTGATGATTCCAAAAACACCATCTTTGACACCGCAGAAGGAGCAGAAGAGATGATCGATAAAGATGAATCGACCCAACCTCCTCATACCCTTAATCCTGTTCCAACACGATACCAAGGCCTTGAAGAACTCGAACAAGCAGTGGCCTACGTGGATGCACTATCCTATTTACACCCCCCACAGTCAGCCCCGCCATCCTCTCCTGCCATAATCGATTCACGACCACTATATGGTGGACCCTTACCAGTATACAACAATGAAACAATTGTCTCGGTCATGCCCCCTACTATTCCTGAGCATCGCTGACAACTCTAGGAAACCTTTAAGGAGGAGCATGCCCCTATCGAACCAACAAGAGGATCCCTGATTAAGGAAGAACGAGATGTTAGATCAACCACAGAAGAATTAAGCTCATCTTTCCGAAGCCAAATGATAGCAGGATATCGCCATGATCCGATTTACTTCAAAGCCATGGATAGCTCCAGGCATGGAGACCTCGCCCCCTATAACATATCCAATGGAATGGTCTATACAAGCATCCGTTATGGTGAACATTGCCTATATGTCCCAAAAGGCTATATGTTCAATGGAATGACTATTAGAGAATATGTCATCTCCAAGATTCACAACAAAGGACACCACAGTGTGGACCGCAACCTTCAATATGCCTCAGAATATGTTTACTGGCCTGAGATGCGCAAGGATTTCCGCGATTTCGTCAAATAATGTGAACTCTGCCAGGCAAATAAGGAGCGAACACAACTACCTGAAGGGAAAGCACAGACTCTCCAACTACCATGTGAAATATTCGAATCCTATGCCATTGACTTTGCAGGACCATTCAACAAGTCCGCTGGATATGACACCATCTTGGTCGCTGTGGATCGACTTTCTGGATATACATGGCTCATGCCAATGAAGGTTACCGATTCCTCTAAAGACACCTGGAATAACCTCCAAAGACACCTATTTACCCCCCATGGGTACCCCTTATCTATTGTCATTGATGCTGATCCCCGGTTCACAGCTAGATTCTGGAGGTAAACCTTGACCTCCCTCGGAATCAACCACATTATGGCTGCCCCTGGACACCAGGAGACTAATGGCCAGGCAGAACGAAAAATCCGCAAAGTCAAGACTGGAATTAAGAACATGATCAATGAACGACAAACCAACTGGGAACTAGCCCTTGTTGAGCTCGCTGCATATATCAATGCCGGATTTTCAGATACCTTGGGAATGTCACTATACAAGGCAGTTTTTGGCCGCCAATACCCCCTCCTACCTACAACACTATTTAAGAACTCCTCAGTCCCTGCCTCTGACGACCATCTAAACCGCCATCAAGCAATTCGGAATGATGCCTTCCAAGCTGTTAAAGCTGCCCGATTCCGAAGCACCACTAATACTCAGAAGCGACGAGGCAAACATGTCCCTATTCTACCAGGTGATATGCTCATGGTATATGGAAACATGTTCATAACCAATGTTGGACGCAGCAAGAAACTACAACCCCGATGGCGAGGACCTTTCAAAGTCATATCCTTTGACGAGCATACAGAGAACTACACTGTTCAGATGGATGGACGCATGTACCGTCGCAATACTGCAGTTTTCCACGCCTCTGCTGTCAAACGATTCCACCCAAATGCCGACTCCAAGTTCCCTGGAAGAACACACTCTCAACCCGCACCTATCATTATTGAGAAGAAAGATGAATGGGAAGTTGAAGAAATCCGAGACCACCGCCTTTGGCATGGAAATGATCAGTTCCTAGTCAAATGGAAAGGATATCCGACGAGTGAGAACAGCTGGAAACCACTAGAAGGACTAGAGCACGCCATGGATATGGTAAACGAATGGTGGAAAAACAACATGTCAAACGAATCCCTCCTCCCAACAATCAATTATATCACCATGTGCTGGACACCTACAGTGCCAGAAACTGAGCGATGGCATGCAGAACTCGAAGCTAGAGATGGATTTTGGGCACCATACTTTGAGTCGGAATTCGAAAGCAGCGATGAGGAGAATCAAGCTATGGAGCAGGCTCTCGACAACTTTATCTAGTCACCAATCACCATCCGAATACCATAACGATGTCAAACTATGTGGAGCTCAATGTGAGGCTGCGACAACAGATTGTTGGACTGTTGTTGAACCGCGATGCTATCCAACTTGAAGACTACTTCGAAATCCTCTGGATAGACTACTGTCCTGATTGCGATCACACTTGGGTTAATGTACAGCGCGAATCTGGTATTCGTGACTACTGTGATTTACCTTTCTTTGAGTCTAAATGTTTTCTTAGGATTTCTTCTTGCCCCTGGTGTGATACTTATGATGAAGAGTTTCTTGCAGAAACTGAAGCCATGAGTTTCTCGGAATCTGCTTTTTATGATTATTAGGTTTTGTTTGTTTAAACAGTTGTTTTGTTTTGGGGAATGTAACCGGTACGGGTACTCGGTTATTGGTTTTGTTTTATGTTTTGTTTTAAGTATCGCTTTGATACTTGGTTTGTTTTAAGTATCGTTTGATACTTGGTTTTGTTTTATGTTTTGTTGAAGTATCGCTTTGATACTTAAGGAGTTTTACCAAAGAGTATCAATTGATACCTTTGATTAGTTTCGTTCATACTAGGCATGAACAGATTTGTATATTTAAAGACCGCCTGTTTCTACCATAGAAAAGGCAGACTTCGACAGACAGTATTTCAATATACTTGATTGAACGGTTACTTCTTTGTTCCCCAGTACGCCCTCGAAGCCTCCTTTAGTTCTCAGCTCTCGCCTCCTCTCTGGTAGAGCAGGCCACCTGCCAACTATCGTATCTATTACCGATAACGTGATTAGCACCCTGCGAACACGTTACAAATTGAGGTAAAAAGAGTTGATACAGAGAACAACTTAGCGGATATATCTATGAAGGAATTGGTTAGGATGTTATTTGAAAGTTTTCTGGTTAGGTTAAGAATGGAACAGTAGGAAAAGTGTTGGAAATTATATTATTTCTTTCCTATCCAGTAATGGGGCTGTGTTGGTCATGTGATACAGCCACATGACTGAGTATATATGCTATTGTATTCTAGCATCTTCTAGAGATTTCCTTGGTATGAGGCAGTGCTCATGTAACAATAAAGGGTTATATAAAGGGCAGGTTCAGCCCTGTTCTTAGAGAGAGAGCGCAACCTTGGATTAATCTTTAAGTCTTCAGATTTTATTGTGGTTATCATTGTTACTTCGTTATCACAACAGTTAGTACAATTGATACAAATATTTTCAAGTATTTGTGATCTGAGATCTTGTTGGTTGTGTAATAGAAGCCCGGCTGGTGCGATCCCGAGGTCAAGAGTTGTTAGCGATCAACCAGCGAGAACAACGGAGAATGGAAAACTTATCAGAATCGTAAAGTGGGAAGATTGAAATTAAATAACAAGGATATAAATTAAAGAAAGCAAGTGCCCTTGTGCATTCTCATTCCTCGCCAGGAAAGACCACGAATGTTTACCCCTTGACACCTTCCCCTTGACACCTCTCGCCCTCAGTGTCTGACCTCATCATTCTATCTCTCGGGGGGGGGGGGCAAGAGATAAACCGTTGCTAGCATAGGAAGCACAATAGGTCCGAAGGTATCCACAACTTAGGTGTGCCCATACACCACACCACTCAACATTGCGGATATATGATATGTTTCCCATACAAAATGCCTTGTCTTAGTGGTTTCCCCGAACCAAAATGTAGGATCGATTGGAGAAAAGGTCCGGGATCTTTGATCGGGGATATGCGGCAGGCCCTCTGCGCTACACCTCATTCCAACATGACGGAGAATTGGCAGCCCCAGGAGCCTCAATTTTTTGTCCGTCTTGCGGTATATCACGCCAATCCAGCTCCTTTCGATCCCTAGTTTGGATTGAGTTTTACCTATGATAGAATACCATCCTGACTTCCATATTCCCTTACAAACTACTTGATCGAGTGATACCTTGTGACTATAACTCGCACACCCACTCCCCGCCCCACACGCACAGAACACTTACAGACCAAAGAATAGTAAGGGTACTTTTGCCTACGCCACGAACAGACTCAGACGGCAGGACTACTAGAAAACGTGCTCGAGTACTACTTTGACCTTTACGCGCAAGGCTATTTCTTGCCATCTCATAACTTAACCCCGGGTACTCTCCTGCTCGATCTATCACATGGCCTATAATTGAGAGCACTAATCTCGAATTTTCCGAAGTCGACAGAATTAATTTTTGTTGTTACAGCGGTATCATATTAATCTATTTCATTACAGCAGGATACAAACAGGTGGTCATATACTCTAATCGCTCCGACAGTCTATCATTATACAAAAAAAACAAAAAACAAATTAGAACGCCAAGAAATGGACAGCAACAAATCCCAATAACCCCACTTTCCATCGTGTTTATACATTCCATTATGTATAGAAGTCATATCTTACTGTGCTTAACCAGCATGCCCGGCTTCCAAAAAGAGTTTCTCCCACTATCACACAAGATCGTCAGCACTAATTCATTACAAGATGAACAAACAGGTGGAGGCAAACCTTCATAAAAAGCGACCCAATAACCGTCATCGCCCCGGCCACGATTAAGAGGATGTAATTCTTATCCATGGCCTTGATGATGGCGTGCAAGACATTCTTTCTTGTCTCCCCTTCAAGACTCATGAACAGCTCACTTCCACTGCCAGCCACTGCGCCCTTGATCGCTGCGGTCGGGACGCCCTCCAAGAACGGTGTAATGCCCTTAACACTCTCGTTTAAGAACACACTACCGCAGATAGCCAATGCGATGACTATTCCGCCAGTCTGTGCGAGAGAGATGTATCCAACCGCGGAGGCCAACTGTCCTGGCTTGACCTTAGCCTGAGCGACGGAGAAAGATGCCTGCACGTAAGAACCTGAACCGATTCCGATAAGGACGGTGTATCCGTAGATTTTAGTGGTAGACGTGGTTTCCTCAACAGTGTACATGAGTGATCCCCCGATTAGGACCATCGCACCGCCGAAGAGGTACCAGGGGGCGTAATACCCGGTCTTTGACATGGCCCCGCCATTAACAATACAGAAGACCACCATGATAATAATGAATGGTAGTAATCTCACGGCAGCTTCAAGCGCTGTATCCCCTCTGACGAACTGGAAGTATAACGGTATGTAATATGTTGGCACGAAGATTGCGGTGGAAGCAGCCGCCATCATGGCAAAGAGCAATACCAAAAACGGATCACGAAGAAATTCGCCGGGGAACAGGCGCTGCGCGGGAGTAGTGAGGACCGAGTACGCCTGGGTCACACCAAAGGCGATGATGAGGACGCCACCAACGACGAATAAAGTGATTTCCTGGGAGGAGTTCCACTCGTAGAGTGTTCCGCCAAAGTTGATCGCCATTATCAATGAGACGAAGGAGCCAATGTTTAGGATAGTGCCGAGCCAGTCTAGCTGTTTAATACGTGACCCGAAGGGTGTGTTGGCCTGGGGGTCTGCCGAGGGGAGGAGCATGAGGTAGACGGGGGCAAAGAGTGCCCCGATCAGCAGGTTTATGTAAAATGCCCAGCGCCAGGTTGCTGGAGATTCGGAGAAAGCGCCGCCGACGACGGGTCCGAGAACTGTTCCGAGACCCCATGCTATACAGAATTAGCATTCGCATAGGGGTAGAATACAATGAAAGGGGGGAGGGAAGAATCATACTCAATCCTGTAGTGCCGATATACGCTGGCCGCTCATGAACAGTCGTCGTGACTGACAGTAAATTCAATGAACCAAGGTACATTCCCGAACCCTACGTTTGTCAGCAAACACCATCATACATGGAAGCAAGAGAATCATACTCCAAGACCAGCAACAGCTCTCCCAACGATGAGAGCATTCATATTAGGCGCAGCACCACAAACTGCGCTACCGATTTCGAAGATCAAAACAGCGAGGATATAAAGCCATTTCGCGTTGAAGACTCCGTACGCCTTTCCCCACGGAAGGATTGTGGCACACCCCGCAAGGACAAATGCAATTCCGAGCCAACTCAGCTTCTCAATCTCGCCAAAGTCGGTAATTACCGATGCTTGGATATCGGCAACCTGACCTGTTAGATTTTTCGTACAAGACTGTAGGTGAAGAGGGAACATACAACTGTGTTGTCAAGAGCAAACAGAAATGTGGAAGAGAGGATTGATATCACGACGAGGACCCACTAGATGCCATACTTTTAGTTCCAATCAACTAGATTTCTCTGGGGGGGGGGGTCACATACTAATACCCCCTTGACGGTTCGCGGAGGGACCTCTTCAGCCGACTTATCCCCCAATACCAAATCACCAGTACTAGACGTAGCGGCCGAAGGTCCCCTCTCCACGTCCCGCTCAGGTACCCCAAGGCTCTTCTCATTGAACTCTGGCCCGGGTGAGGGCGTCGTTGATGGTAGGCTCATTGTTGATGACTTGCGCTCTTTCGTTCTTTCTTTATGATAACCAAAGTCTAACTCGAGAGGAGAAGAGAATGCTGCTGATGGGACTGGAAGATATCCAAACCATGGGAAATCGAGGGTATTTGTAGCCCTCTCCTTCTCCCCCTCCCCTCAAGGCCATATCGCTGACTATCACTAAGTGCCACTCTCATTAATGTTCTACCGATGTCATCATCCAAATAACCTTCAAGCAGGGATGGTGGGTAGGAGATTCCCAGCGCCTGGAACAGTGACAGGATCCAATAATCAACTATCGGAACAACTCGAACAAAAGAAAAATCTTCCAGGAAGTTAGAATTCCCCTTCTCGGCTATGCGAGGGGAAAACACGGCAAGCTCAGCCCTCAGTTGAGACAAAACAAAAGAAATATGTACAGTACTAGATGGTACACCCCCCTGCTAAATTTAGGAGACAACTACTACGTCCTAGATAGCAAATCGATCTTCAATTCGAATATTTGCCGTGTTCCTACCTGCGTACAGAAAAAGTGAAGGAGTGTGAAAGTACAGTACTGTGTATAGTACACACAAATGCGGTAATGGGTAAGGTAAGGTGAAGGGTGCATGCGAACCAGGACCATGGGCCCTACCGTAGCACTTTCCAAACTAAACAACACTGAATTGTATCATAGCATGCATCATCACGCATGACCCTACTTTGCTCCTTTTTCTCCGGTTATCGCAGAATTCGCCTATCTCCGCCTAACCTACTCGTACCGCTTAATTCCACAGCCTAGATTTATCATCACATACATGCACCTCGTATTGCGGAGGAATACCATGCCATGAAACCAAGGAAAAAAGAAAGAGAGCGGGCATCACCGGGCGAAATGTTCTTCCGAGATGGGATATCCCTGTCGCCGCCGGCGACACTCGAGTGCGGGGATAGGGTTTGAGCTACGGTAAGGCAGCCGAGAGGTGGAGTTTATTCGGATGCCGGGATTAGACTATGGGTTGTTTAGTGGATGGGTGGACGGGTTAATGCAATGCGACGGCATGATTTGTATGGTAACCGGTGGAATGGACGGCGCGATGACTCGAATGACAGGGTAACTGGAGCGATTACTATTCACACCCGAGCCGCATCCAACTCTCCCCCCGAGCGAGTGAGTGAGATTGACGATTTCGAGAATTTAACACCATGATACCCGTACTCGAGTACTCGAGTAGGATACACTTCCCCGCAGTCCATCCTGGAGAGAAATTTATTCCCAATTAAGGAAGGCTGCTTTCCACGCCCCGTGATCTTCCGAAGCAAGTTGCTTCAATCGCAGTGCACGACGGAATACCCGAGTAAAGGATAACCGCTCCGCATCCGGAAAAATACTCAGCCTTTCTTTCTCCCCGCCAATTAAACAACCATCGTGACTTCTAAAAAAACACTCGACAATCTGAGCAAAGTCGAAAGAAAGAAAAAACTCCTCCTATCTTAGACATAAATCAGGCCATACCGTATCTTGGATAAGAGGTTGGTTTCTGGTGTCTAGAATGGTCGTGCCGACAGAGTCCCACTCGATGGTGATGCCCTTTTTTTTTTTATTTGGTCACTCAGTGAATGCATACGCCTAAGACATGAGGGGGTATCTTTAATTTCACTTTTACCTTTATTTTTTTTCCCCAACCTCGGTCGGATTGTCAAGATTTCCCAAAGCTCCAATATGAGCTCAATTTTGCACTTTTCGATCCCCGTCCTATGAGACACCCGCATTCCACCTCAAGCCGGTCTGTCATCCAATGGTATCATCACTCAGAAGCAGCCACAACTAACCTAACCGCAGCCGGATTCGAGGCTTTAGGGCATATCGAGACCACAACTATGATATGCTGCCATTTTGCTGTACGGTACTCGTACTCGTAACTTACCCCACTACCTCGCTGTTCGATGCTTCGGCTCTTTCCGGTGGGGCAAATTTGTCCCGGCGACCTCACTGAAACCTGGCTGATTAACACACTTTTAGGCTCCTGAACTGCCCAAGGTGCAAGGGGCACTTTTTTCCTTCCCATCAGCCATGAGCATTGCACACTATGGTATCTATGTGTGGTCCAGGAGTCCGGTAGCGGCGGACTGTGATTGGATATTATATTCGAAGGAAGGTAACGTAAGTTACTTGGAAAAGCAAGCAGAGGCATATCAATATCGTACTTGACATCGTCTTTCCCGCCTAGGCAGGTTATTCCTCCGGCATCGGCACCAGACGGAGACTCCTCGGCCGGGGAGACTGTGCGCAAGCCAATAAGTTACCGACTTCGCTGTGTGCACTTTCCGTGAATGCCAAGCTTCCCACTTTCCCAAAAAGGGAACCACATCAAATAATTCTACGATATCCCCAACACATAATTAAAAAATGAAAGCTAACCTTATTGACTCCATTAGGTCAACACCCTACCCGAGTAGAAAGGCCTCTTGAAAGGACTTTTTTTATGATAATATTATTCAAAAAAATCGATTCCCTACCGACGGCTTTACCGCATGTGGAGTGCTGCTTTCTCCAAGTTTTTTATTGTTTCGCACGGCCTCCCCCTCTCTCGGAAACTCCCACCAATCGGCACCAGACTGGGTGCGTTTCTTAGTTCGCACTTTTGCTGCAGGGTCAGAGTTGGGCTGGAGTCAGAAGTTCATGGCCTACTTGTCGTAATGTCATGTACTGTACAGCACCACCTCCGGGTTGGATCAACCTGATACCTATGAACCAATAGCTAAACGTAAGGTAAATTTATGATATAACAAACAGCCATACAGCGTGTTAAACCTACTATATAAGTAGCGACATAATTCACTTACACTTCGGACCCCTCCAGATAATCATGTATCGTCACTCGTTTTCATCCTCCCCCCTCCCCGATAGTAGATGTAATGAATCGACCCCAATATTACTCTAATCCAAGCCTCGCTCTGTGCCCTGGAAATATGGCGATATCTCTTCTCTTACAGCACTTCCCCTACGGCACCTACACCCCTAGAAGCCCCGCTCTTCCGTACAATATCCATCCATATTACGACTCCTTCCCTCGAGAGCGCCCCGAAACCACCGCGGAAACCCGGCAAGGAGTAAAATGGAGGCAATGAATAAAACAAAACAAAAATAAGAATTGACCGTAGGGTGGATCAAACGCATACAAGATCTAATAGGGACCGAGACCTAGCATACCATCCTGGACGCGTCGATTTTTCAGTCAAAACTTTTACCAAGAATGTCTCTTTGCCGCTAGGTTCCATCTAAAAGCCGCCCTGACATATGATATGACAGAAAAGAAAAAGTATATGATATGATACCTCGAATGATCACAGGCACTGTATAGCCCAACACCAATACTTTCGGAAAAAATTGGCGCCACTTTTATCTCCGAGGGATGTCTGTCTCAGGGAGCGTCGCGGTGTTTCTAAATTTGCGCGCGCCGAGCACGGGCATTGATTTCAGCGGCCCACAACTCCAGATTTTGATTAGAGTCCGCGGATGGGGGCAGATAAGTGGGTGTGGTAGCCCCCCCTGTGGTCGGTTTGTTCGGGACACGATAAGCCCTTCATGGCCATCGAATGGAACAGTAATATATCATCCAAATGACCCACACCTCGGCATAAACTGAATAATCATCACAAAAAGAAAGTGCAATTCTAGTCACTGTTGACCTATGCCGGTATCCTATAATAGCTAATCCTCCCGATTGCCCTCCACCTAGTATCAGGACCGACACTTCTATGGTGTTATTCGATATATCGGAATTCAGGATGCCGATAGCCCAGCTTCTGCGCTTGCTCCTCCGTTAACCCCACCAACCGGCTATCTCGTCCTCCTCTGTCTCGTAGAGCGTTCTCTCGGCGAACGTATAAGATACCTAATAGACCTATCAGGGCCACGCAAACCTCACCACCTAGAAGATGTTAGCCCTAATTGATATTGTAATAAGGTGAGGGAGAGATACCAAGGTTGATTGAATGCCCTCGAATATATCGTGGAGCGTCGGAAGGGACATATGTCCACCTATGCCGTCCATTTAATTTGACGCGACAAACGGAGGAGATGAGAAAACATACGTCGCGACAATTGCGCCGCATGTACCAATGCTCACAATATACCCTCCTGTTACAGCTCTAACCGAGGGTCCCGCTGCATCTATTAGCCACCCCCGTCGTCGTTAGCATTCTCCTCTCGTCGGTGAGTTAGAAGTCCTGAAGAAACATACTATTCAATCCCCAACTCAAGAACGTCACACCAAGCGGGAATGCGCCACTCGAGGCAAAAAAAACTGCCATGTACTTTATATTCGGCTCATCCACACTTACGAGAATCGAGTATCCCGTCAGCGTCAGAGCTGTACAGAGTATAACATAGAGACCGCGTTTTCGATGGAGGTCCGAGAGACGGGCTATAGCGAGTGAGAAGCAACATGCTACGACGTAAGGGGGAACAGTGAGGAGCTGTGGATATTAGCAAGGTTGAAACTGGGTGGGGGAGGGGAGAGGTACTTGAGCCTTTGTTGCCCTCCACCCCAATGCACTCAGGATTGTCGGCTGACTAAATCAGACTGATATCACTGTAAGGGGGCAAGCATTTAACTAACAAGGAATAGAGAGAAACTCTGCACCGTAATGTTGCAGAAGAAAAATCCCATACAACAGATGATATTGTTGATATTGAAGATTGCTCTCTTCACATGCCATGATTCAGTTTTCTCACTGGCGAGCTGTGGCTGTCAGCTGAGTGATACCAATCATGGTGGAAGGTAACTCCTACTTCTCTATGTTCAATTCTCATCCTTTCCGCCGCGATCCACCGCTGTCGTTCGCTGAGAAACGTACAGCTCTGGGGAGTCTTGGGCATGAGGAAGTATCCCAGGACTCCGATTGCGATCGTGATCTACGAAATAATCGTCAGTAGGGTTTATCCGAATAAGAGCAGAGGGAGTTCCCACAATGCCTTCAAAGAAGAAGATATTTCTCCACCTAGGCTGCATGTCAGCACCCATTCCCCGGGTTTGTTTGGGAGTGGGGTAGTACAGACGTATGCAGTTCGGACCCTTTGGGTCCCCATTCAGGAATTCGCCTACATTTACTTCATCAACTCTGACCGTTTAGCATCCCCGGGTTCATCCTAACTTACGTCAAAGCTGTCGCCAGGAATCCACCGAACGCTCCGGCGAGCGAACCAGCCGAGGCAAGGAGCCCTACCCGGAAGAGTAGCTCGGCCCGCTTATAGAAGCAGCTCATAAAGAATGCCATTCCCTGATCCCATTAGAATCGTTGGAACAGTTAAGACAACTAGGGAGCGATACCGGCATTGTTCCCCCCTCTGCGAGTCCCAGGAATGCACGAGCTACGCATAGTTCCTGGAAACTTCTCACAAATGCCGTCCCCATTGACACAATGCCGAAGGCTATTATGATTGCGGGGACTGGATTTCCATGCTGTTAGTTTCGGCGGGTGGTTGGGATGATGGGGGTTGAGGGAAGTAAGTACTGTAAATCTTTGGACCTATGTCGAAGATTAGCTTGGTAATTACCTATCGGTAGACCGGGCATCTAGGTTTAGCTACCTATCCTCTTGAGTAATATGTTGCTCGGAATCTCAATACTTCAACACCAGCCACACTCAGTCAGTCATACACTACCCCCGCTACTGTGGCTAGAGAACCCACAGAAGAAAGGGAATATAGAACGCGGTCAACGCCCAATTAAACCTAAACCCGACAAGATTTAGGTCCTTTTGCATCCCCTGAATCCGTGCATTCCTATGTTCATCTGCATCAGCGATCGTTCATCATACAACTTGCCGTCCTCACCACCATACCCGATATTTGCTCTAAGCACCCCGCGAGGACAAGTTAGCAGGGCTACATCACAACAGCTATAGTCACCTCGTAACCCACCGATCGAGAAAGCAAAGCAGATACAGCACTACCAACAGCGGTAGCAATCTCCAATCCAGCTGCCTCCTCACCTGTGCCTCCTCCTCGGCCGACCACGACCCCTCATCAGATGCTATCTCGTACTTCTCGTCGAGGGTTTCCTTCACTACGTTCTGGTCCTCCATGTTGTGCGGTGGTCCACGGTACCGTTTCTGTAGGTCCAGGACTCAAGATCGGGGCGCAAACCCACCCTTAAACAGCTTCGCAGAGCATACATAGTGTGGATGGATGGAAATGAAAGGTTGGGAATCCTGCATGCAGAAGTGCAGTGTGTTAGTGACCCCACGGAGCCCTGCGCAAAAAGGACTATCCCCCGAACCCTCCAGCACTCGAAGGAGTAAAGATCACCTATTATATATCTCAGTTTTTTACCGCACCCCACGGTAGGTAGGTCGGTACCGGGCGGGTGGCCTAGGGAGTATTTCTGGGGGTTTCTCGAGTGCTGGTGTGTGATTCGAACGCGGTTGGTAGCCTCTTTTCCTCGAAAAATTGTGTGGCAGAGGCAAGGCTGGTACCAGGGTTATCACGGCTTATCACTATTAAAAAGGCGATACCGCAAAACCCCCTATAATCTCCCTTATGGCGCTAACTTCCGCATTTGGAACAAAACGCTCCGCGAAAGAATAACGGTAGTGTCTATCTGACGCTGTATAACCTGAGCGTATGGAACTTGCTAGGTCTCATTAACCGGCGCTCGCAATTTCGTTAACCCCCTTGAACAAGGTCTGTTGTACTTGTCGTTCAGCTGTCCCGCTTATCCGATGGCAGATCGTGCGGGTAAATCGGTAGTGCCCACAGTTTGGATTGCCACCTAGAGCTCTTGGGTCCTTACAGGGTCCCTCCAATGTTCACTACTAACTCACTTGCAGTATTAATACCCGCCTTTGACCTAGGAATCTTCGCCGCATTTCACCTAGTAATCCCAATCTTCATGAAAGCACACACAGGTTTTCAATTCTCGTGGTTGAGGTTACTACAGGCTTTGCTGAAACAACGGCTATCGTTCACACATTGCGCAATCGTCCTACGTTTTGGGTAGGAATCCACTACTTGTAACACTAGTGCCCTTCAACCGACGTGAGAATTAAGTTAAGGAGCTTAGCTTGCTCGACTAACCTCCGCCCATCACGAGGGGACATCCTTGCCGTTATCCCTGTAAAAGTCTGCTTCTGCAGCCCTGCAAAGCCAACGAGAGGAACGTTCTGGAGAGGGGTTGTGCAACTCGCGACACCCCCACCCCCGATCAAAAACAGCCCCACGGTCCCCACCTCCAGGAACCCGTCCACTTTCAGATCAGCCAATCTCACCTGTATTCGGGTTACCAGTCTGAGGAAACGACTCACACCGACTGGCATAGGGATTTTGTAGAATTGGGTAGAGGGTTTGCACGGGTTGGATTGTATTGGAATTGCTCGCGTATTGTGTCACAAGCGTGCCCTCAGGGACTCACATTGAACTAGGTGAGCCAGTCTTTCTTTTTGGGTTCGCGTGTTATCGGGGCAGACCGCAAGCTAGGGAAGCTGATACGGGGTCTCAATAAACGTCAGCTGCGCGTTTAGAAGTATCGCCGGCCCCTATGTCCCGGGTAAAGAGCCCCGACCTTGCCAGCTTGTAATGCCGAGAAAGCAGGAAGGTTTCCTCCCATCTATTGGTCGAAGCCCTCTTCTGTCGCACTAGCTCAGCCATCCCTTGAAGCCGAATTCTACAGTGCTAAAGACGCAAAGTTCTCCCCTCCATAGGTGTTGTGTTCCGCCAGTTTATATTCCAGATGGATCCTACCAGCAGCCAAAATAGTGGGTATCCACTCCCTCAGAAACTCACCATGAACAGCCGGAGCCCGGGCATTCGGTGTGGGAGTGCGCTCAAGTACGCGTTTACCGCACCGGTCGCTAGCGAGGCATCTCGAATACTTGAAGGTCGACTTTCCTTAAGTGTGATATCGTCAGGGATCTAGGAACGTTCCCGCACTCCGCCTTTTTGACAGAAGCTCGGTGAAATGTGTCCGTTTCCCGGGAGTCAAGGAATACTGCTTCCGTATGTATGGGAATGAGACGACAGCTTTTTGAAACCATCGGGGGACGTATTCCCCCCCCCCCTGTTTTTTCGAGTAGCAATGAGTGAGTTAGCCTACGCACCGGCACGGCGCGGGTTGTGTGTCTTTTACTTTGCACTTACTTTACTGGTACTGGTATGATACAGTGTAGCGGATGTCACTTACATTGGGAATAACTTAACAAGGATAGAGCCAGGGCTGTCACTCTGTCTCCACAGTATCACCTTTTTGTGATCACCGCCAGATGTATGGGTGTCCTGGGCTTTGGGTTAGCTAGAGGTCGTCACGGACATTGTTTACCGCGACCTAAGCTAGGACTCTCCTTACCCATTTCAGTCCTAGCTACTGGTCCAGAAGACCCTCGTTCAGATACGTCGTAGGGCCTTTAACGGCCTCCGCACAAGCCCCGGAAAATTGAACCTACAATTCGGTAACACGGTGATGAAGTCGCTCTTCATAGTCACCTACAATAAATCACTCCACCACCCTGTATGTAGCGACCACCGTATAGTCGGGTCCTGTCGGTGAATCAGCATCATAGCTGGCTCTGCGGGTTAATTCTTACAGGCTTAACACACTACAACCGGTTTCTTGGTGCTTCGCTCGAGTGCACGGCTATGGAGTTCGGGTACAAACAACCTTCTAATCCATTGACCATGCGTGCAAAAGTTTTTTGTCATGGGACTGCCAATAGCACCGGTGAAAATATTTGTATCTATTGTACTAACTGTTGTGATAATGAAGTAACAATGATAACCACAATAAAATCTGAAGACTTAAAGATTAATCCAAGCTTGCGCGCTCTTTCTAAGAACAGGGCTGAACCTACCCTTTATATACCCTTTTATTGTTACATGAGCACTGCCTCATACCAAGGAAATCTCTAGAGGATGCTAGAATACAATAGCATATATACTCAGTCATGTGGCTGTGTCACATGACCAACACAGCCCCATCACTGGATAGGAAAGGAATAATGTAATTTCCAACACTTCCCCTATGGTTCCATTCCTAACCTAACCAGAAAACTTTCAAATAATACTCTAACCAATTCCTTTATACATATATCTGCCAAGTTGTTCTCTGAATCAACTCTTTTTTCCTCAATTTCTCCGGTTTTCCTCAACTCCCTCATATAGTAATGTTGTACATCAATATGTTTTGTTCAATCAGATATACTGGCATTTTTGGTTAACTCTATAGTGGCTATATTGTCACAATGGATAGTCGGTATAGTATTGATTCCTATATGTGACATCCCTCTTCTTAACAATATGCTTTGTCTTGACATATTCAGTGCCTTGGTCACTATGTAGTTGTTTAATCATTTTACCGAATTGTATATTTATCAGTCCCCAAAAGATCTGTATTGCTGTAACTGCTCCATCCTAAGACTTCAGTAAGTATATCCAATAGTACCTAGTATAATCATCAACAAATGTCATGTAGTACTTGTTCTTGCCAAGAGTAGGTACTGACATATGACTACTCAAATTGGAATGTACTTTTTCAAATAAAGATTTTGTGCTAATTTTGATAGTCTTTGGTATACTATGTGTTGATTTGTACTTATTGCAGGTATTGCAATCGAAGTATTAAGAGGTGTTGATAGGTGTGGTGTCCTTGTAACAATCTTTAATCTCTTTTGGATATCCAAGGGCATGATGCATTTCTTTGTAGGAGGAAATCATAATACTTTCTTTTTTGATTCTTATATACTATAGTTTTTCTTTCTTATCTGCTACTATGAATATTTTCCTTTCCTTCTCAAACAATCTCTTCTCCTTTTCCATTACTATCCTTATACCAACATCATCCATTTGGGATTCTAATACCAATGAGTATCGAAAGGAGGGAACAGATAGTATCTGTTTAAGGATGACTGTATGTTGACGTCCATCTAACCTGCACATATTGTAAAATGTTCGCAGGGTGCTAATCACGTTATCGGTAATGGATACGATAGTTGGCAGGTGGCCTGCTGTTCCAGAGAGGAGGCGAGAGCTGAGAACTAAAGGAGGCTTCGAGGGTGTACTGGGGAACAAAGAAGTAACCGTTCAACCAAGTATATTGAAATACTGTCTGTCGAAGTCTGTGTAACTGGTACGGGTACTCGGTTATTGGTTTTGTTTTATGTTTTGTTTTAAGTATCGCTTTGATACTTGGTTTGTTTTAAAGTATCGTTTGATACTTGGTTTTGTTTTATGTTTTGTTTTAAGTATCGCTTTGATACTTAAGGAGTTTTACCAAAGTGTATCGATTGATACCTTTGATTAGTTTTGTTCATGCTAGACATGAACAGATTTGTGTATTTAAAGACCGCCTGTTTCTACGATAGAAAAGGCAGACTTCGACAGACAGTATTTCAATATACTTGGTTGAACGGTTACTTCTTTGTTCCCCAGTACACCCTCGAAGCCTCCTTTAGTTCTCAGCTCTCGCCTCCTCTCTGGAAGAGCAGGCCACCTGCCAACTATCGTATCCATTACCGATAACGTGATTAGCACCTTGTGAACAGGTTACATTTCTTTAACCTCAGTAAGTGGTTAAGAACCTGTCCCTAGATTTAGGCCTGATCAACCTATCGATATCCACCTCAGAACGCTAGCGGAGAGAAGCGGCAGAATCACAGTACATTCGGCTTCATCTCAAACCCAAGATAGAGTCTTTGACGACCAGGAGTGGGAAGCAAATCCCACGGCAAGACCTTACAAGGAAGAAACAATCCCGGCGCTTTGCTAAAGAGCCGGGCGATCCTGCAAACACGGAAGATACACAACCTCCAGGAGAATTCCCTTCTACTCCAGCAAAGAAGCCTTCCTTTGAACCTCCAAACGACCCCAAATCTAGTAGCGAATCAGATATGGCTAGCACAGGAGGAGGGCCTTCTGGAGGAGGGAAATCTCGGGCAAGGCCTGAAGAAGAGGAGGTACCCGCAGCAATTGAACCCCCTAAGTTTAAACTTCACCTCCAAGCGAAGTTCACAGGCGAAGGGAAAGACCTCAAACCTGAAGCCTTTGAACGATGGGCCACAGAACTCTCACACTTCCTACTCTTACAAGGAAAAGATGTGGAAGACCCTACAACCGGACTTATTATTGGATCATTCTGTGAAGGAAAGGCAACCGATGCATACCA